GGGTCGGATCTATTGATTGGAATATAGGTTAGCCAACTGAGGAAGAACATCGTCTCTTAGCATGCTTAAATATTTTTCCGCTGTCAAATTACCATCTACAAATATAGGACCAATACTATGATGTCCTATAATATCTGACCAAACATTCAACTTTTGAGGATACTGAGTGTGTGTCTCACGCATCAAATGAGGATTCTCAAAACATAAAAATATACAGGGTTTCATTAAAAATAAGGATTATGGACTATGCCAGACTTGCGTGGATCACCGTGTACATTGAAATTTATGTTTAAAAAGCGCACATTTAAATTTAAAAGTTAACGTGTCCCAGAGTTTTTTATTATTTTCTATAAGGACACAAAAATTTTATTCCATAAGTGGTTTCCACACCGTATATGTATGTAAATAAAGGGTCTAAAGGTATTTACCTTGTAAGAACCTGTGACAAAAACAACAAAAAAAGGACATCATAGTGCATAATATGTGATTTTCCATCTTCCACAAGTTTTTAAACTGTATACAGTATAACCTGCCACATCCGGATCAATGTGGCGACCGACCGATCCAGATATGAAAAAATACGGATATCAAGACCATTTAAAAATATTTAGCTGTAAACGGCCTGAAATTTATATAATGGTTATTTTCTGCTGTTTTTTTTTGTTTTTTTCGATGTTTAACACATCGAACACGTTTTTTTGAAGCCATGTGTCTCATCCTTTTTAAGAGCATCGCGTCACTTGCACAAGTAGCTTCTTGACTTTGAACGTAGCACAGCAGAGCCTTGAACTACTTCAATGCTTCGGAATGGCTCATCACGACCGAATTTTTGTCAGTGTTTTAATCCCCTTCGTTGTCTGAGTTTTTGTCATCATTCTTGCACACCAGGCGACCAGGTTCAATAATTCGCCATTAGAAGGGCATATCTGGATTCATTTCGCATAATGTATAAAAAGTACTGTAACTTTCGAGATTTGATGGTGGTCAGTACCTCTCGGTTCTTCTTCATTCTTCTGAGGACCTCCTCATTGGTGACTCGGTCAGTCCATGGGATTTTAAGTATTCTCCGATATAGCCACATCTCAAATGCTTCCAATTTTCTGCACATATCTTCGTTCAAGGTCCACGATTCAACACCATAAAAATGAAGAGAGGAGACCTAGCATCGCAGTATTCTTACTTTTATACCAAGAGAGAGGTTGTGGCTCTTGAAGAAGGCCCCCATCCGGTTGAAGGTGGATCTTTTGAGGTGGAAATGAGTAGCAATGATAAATAAAAGATACTAAATTATTCGAAATTACATAAACAAAATGGAATATTTTAAAAATGAAAAACTGTAACCCATTTTACTCATTGTACCTATGTAGTTTTCCAGTACTTATTTTTCGTAATTCGATATTACTTATATGTAATAGTAAAAAGTTTTTTTCATAATTTTCAAAGAAAATCTTTCGTTTTACATCCGCAAAGTATGTTCGTTTGTGCATTGTTGCCTATGCAATACTTGGGGACGATCTATCGATGGATTCATATCATGATACTAAGACTTTCAAGATAAACCCACTTCGCAATCGAATTTTGTACATCGACGCGCATGACGTCAATTGGTGATAAAAGTCACTTTTATCACCAACCTTTTATCATCACAGTCGGTAAAACATATATGGAAAGAAAGGGGTTTTTATTTAAATATTTAGAATATTAAGGGATGTTAGGTAAAATATCTGCAATTAAATCTTAAAAATATGTTATATATACATCTCTGTTAGCCTAGCAATGTAAACTAAAATTATATAAAAAAGTAAGAACTAAACATCCTTTTGCAAATGGAAATTTATATACAATGGATTGATTTATTAAAATAAAAATTTAATACAACTGATAAAATAAAATACACTGTAATAATTTACAAGTTTATTTAACAATTTATTTTACAATTTTTAATATTTTCTTCTTCTTAACTTTGGATGTTTCTTTAATATATCTATTCAATTTTCTAATTTTAAAATATAATTTACACCTTTACTAACATTACATCTGAACACAGCTAAATCCATTAGCGATTTTAAATAATTCTTGGTTAATTTTAATGACCCTTTGTTAAAATTGTTAAAAATATGGTCCAGTTCATTACATTTAATTAGAAAATCTGGATATGGTTTAAGTAAACCTCCTTCGGAAAGATGGTTTACCCAGTAAACCGATGTCAACGTACAAGATAAACGATAAAACAAAACTAAATCTCAAGGTTAGTAGATATTTAAGTAGATACTTAAATATCTACTAACCTTGACTAAATCTGACAAAACTCCATACAACACAGAACATTTCTGGTGACATTTGTCGCCAAGTGACGTCACACGACTGATCGCGTGCGCGTGGGTTTATCTGTAGTTTATAGTATCATGGATTCATATATAGTTTTGTCCCCTGAATTAAAATCTGAAAACAGCATTTTGATATCTCGAACCATCTTCGACATAACTGGCAACAAAGTCAAAAATAGTGACGTCACAATCCTTCTGAAGATACATTCGTTTCTGCTGACACAAATAAATGTTAAATTGAAAAGTCAACTAAATAAATTTTATTTATTAATGTTAATGTAATGTTAAATGTCTATCTACCCAATAATATAAGTATTTTCCCTAACTTTTCTACAAGAAGAGGTCTGTTTTTATATCATTAATGATAATATTAGTTAATTATTTCCAAATATTGGTCTTAAAGCGTAAAATGTATAAAAACAACTTTCTATTTTTTGCCTTTTGATTAATACCACAATTAACTAATGATGTGTGAATGACAGTTTTCAAAAACTAATATTTAACTATACTTGAAGATTAATCATTGATTACTATTATTTTAACAGTAATCCTAAAAATTATAAATTAATTCATTTCAAATTCAGATGTTATAGACTGCTAGAATCTTAATACAACCCTGTACGATTATATAAACATCAGGTTTCACGTGTTCTGTGTATGTATTTATTGACGGCTACTTTTCTGTTAAATGAATTTGGTATAGTAAATAACCCATGGACGTATAAACACAGATGGACTCAGTTATTTACATAAAATTGTGAAGTCAAAATTATTTGAATATGTCACATTCTCAGCACCTCCAACTGTTGTCACGTTTTTTTATTAAAAATTCTTATTCGCGAGTCGCTGAAAATATTACTCCGTATTTTATACTCTACAGGTGCTATCAAACCAAAATAATAATTTATTGGTTATATTAATATATCTAATTGTAATCAAAATATCAAGTGTGCACATAGTGTGCATTATCATTTAATAATAGCGTATAATAGATATCAATAAATTATTTTATATTTAGAAGCACTGAAAACTATTTATAAATGGCAACGGTTGTTTACATTTCTCTGTTTTACGGTTCTACGTCAAACTTCAAATGCTATTCCATGTTTGTTTACAACGATTGAGGAAATAAGGAAAAATTGTTTTTAGATAATTTTGGCTGTATTTTGAGTGATATTTGTGAAAAGTGAAATAAAATAAACGAAATATTTACATCCCGGTCTTTCATTTCATTTGTAAGTACATAAAATTTACATTATTTAGGATGAGGAAATGAAAAAGCGTGTTTGTTTACATTTTAATAGGCGTACCATTGGGTTTATTCATGTTCATTAATGTATTCAATAAGATATAATAAAATTGTATTTTAATTTTTCTATAAAGACGTGATTTGTTAATAGTTAAATTCTCGTTTTTTTTTAATTCTTTGAACGTGTTTTTATACATTATTACTAGGTACTTCCAATTTTTAAAATCTGAATAATTACCCGCGAGTAAAAATTCAAGCACGCTTATACTCATTGCGGAAGCATCACATTCTATCGAAGCTTCAAAACATTGTGTGTTAAAGGTATCTTATTGCTGTGTCCATCTATGTTTATACGTCCATGAAATAACCCAACAATAACTATAACGTTACAAAACACAAAATGTATTAACTTATAAATCAACACGCTACAATTTTAATATAATCAGACTGAGCAGTTTGGACCTGTAAAATGACAATCGTTCTCGCTCAAGATGATAAATAATTATATTTAATATGTCTCTTAGCGAATACCGTCAGAACACGTGCGTGTCAGGCCTCGATAATTTGTTTATGTTGGGAATTTAAATAGATTTGATAATATGAATACAGTTTCATAGACTTCAGTTGTCATCGTATGGAATCATTAAGATTGTTAGCCATGAATACCTTAGGGTTAGACTCTATGCACTAGGAAACAGAGAACTGAAGAAAAAGTACATGCTACTTCAAAAAGGCATGAACTATAAAGTCATTTTTGAATTTTGTATAAAAAATGAAAATTGTTTTGTTAATACACCTACATTACTGTAGATATTATTTATAAATAATAAATATCCAAATTTAATCATTAACAATTCTTTTTTTTTTCTTCTATTTCTTAAAATTATGTAGTAAATTGTGTTGTAAAATGAATTTTAAAAATCCGCTTGATGAACGCTTGGAAGCTTTGAACTCGGTCCATTCATGTGTGTGAATAATGAAAGAATAGGTGGATAGATGTTCTAGTCATTGCTTGTTATTGTAATTTAATTTTGGACATAAGTATATCTAGGTTATTTTAATAGAAAACTATAGGAAACCAATTATATCTGCTACATTTTTGTGACATATAGGGAGTAAAAAGAAATTAATTTAGTTCTGAACTAGCGTAGATGTCTAAATTTATGACGTAAATATTTTGTAAAGTAAAATTAAAATATAAATATATTACTCTATAAATATTTATTTTTGAAACCTTTTACACTTCCCATATTCCAACATTATATACAGGCCAGTTCTTACTAGCTATGCAATTAGAAATACACTGACGTTAGTGGCGACATCTAGTTAGTGCTCAGCTAGTAATTAAAGTAGAACTCCCGCCAAATCGCAACAAACGCTCTCACCAAAATTGTAACTTACTTAATTGTAATTAAAACACAAGCAAAACATGATCATTTTTTATTCAATATAATTATCTTCAACATAACATTGTCTTATATAAAAGAAAGTATAAATATAAAGCTATATCAAAAAAAGTTACACTGAAAGTTCAACCACGCTAGAAGAAACTATTTCGTCGAATAGATCGGTAGCACCTTCAGTTTCTAGAAGACCAAAGTTATAATCTTGGTGAAATGATGCAGGACTCAATGTAACAAATGGACTATCAACTAAAAATTAAAAAATATTAGGAAAGAAATTGATTACTAAAGCCTAACAAAACAAATTGTTAAGTTTTATTCGAAAAATTTTGGTCAAGTACCTACTTCCATAAAGCAATAAGCATATTGTGGCATTTATTTAAATAATACTTTATTAAACAAGTATTTCTTTAATACCAAATAATATTTAAAAAATAATAATAAAATGATCCAATACATGTTTAAGTCATTTTGTAACACAATGTTAAATAATTTTAATGTTTTTTGTTCTAAACTTGAACTTTTAATATTTCAAATTGTTCTTTTTAAATTGCTTCTTGTTTATAAAGAAAGCCCCGATGAATTTTTGAAAAAAGGGGATAACTCGGGTTTTAAGGATCGCGGGACATTATTTTGTTTTGGAATATGTGTAAAATGCCAACATAATGAATACAAAAAAATAATTTCCTATATGTTATTGCGTCTATAGTTATTTTAATTGTTTATAAGCCTAAAATCACAGTAGTTCTGAAAACCTATTTGACAATACTTTATGTATATATAAACTTTTTAAAATTTAAATAATTTAATTTGATAAAATGAGCCTTTTCTTCAATCTGGTGCTTTCAGAATTAATGTAGACCCAATAGTTTACGCATGATAATGTGTTTGCTGCCCATTGTTGTTTACTACACCCAGTCTAGAATTTTTGTACCATGTAGAAGTTTGTACAGGTCTTTTGCTAGATGTATCCTAAATATACCAGGGTCACCTCTTGGTTGCCCAAGTCACAGTTACAGTTTTTGTCTTTTACGGTCCAGCGCCTCGCAGTCACATTTTACAGTTTCTAGTTCCTTATCACAGAGTGTGTTAGGTCCATGTAAGCCTTTTATTCAGGAAGTATCTTACTGGTAGATGCCTGGTCAACATTCCTGTTACTGTTCTCAGTTTTTTCCTGCCCATATGAAGCAGGTTCTCTGTTCTTTTTCTACATGGTTCACCAATGAAGATTTTTCCATGTGTTTGTTTTGGGATTCACTCCCAATATCGCTCATGACTCTCTTTGATCCAGTCGTCTCCCTACGAACTGCAGCCTTTGATATTTCCAGAGTTTGTTCTCTGATGTGTAAACCAAAAGAGCTTAAACATGGGTTCGACCATTTGATTTTCATTAAAATGGTCTTTTAAAGAATTCAGACAATCGTATAACAGGTTGGGTTATGTAGTATTTATTTACATTTATCATGAATTCCTTTTGACTAAACATCCACAAGAAGGAAGGCATATTCCAAGGCATGACTTTATTAAACTTTAAAGCAGTGTATTTATTATTTGATGTATTTCCCACCTCAATAAGGATGGTAAAATACTTACCGTCCAGATCTTGATCTACTGTCCTTCTATTTTGACTATAGTAACTACTTTTATGTTTCTTAAACAATATTTGAGCAGTAACGATATCTGGATCCTCCTCGTCAATAAATTTTAGGTCCGATGAATTTGAATCATCTTCAGATGTTTGTAATAATAGCTAAAATAAAAATAAATGATAAATATTATCTTTATTATACAAACATGAATCCATCCAAGGCCAATAAACTATGATTTTAGGACAAAATTTACAATTGTGTCATTATAATTTTACAATTTACTATGATTGTCATCAATCAAAGTTTTTCAAACATATTTTGATACCTAGTTTCAAAATGTTTCACTGATAATGGTCTGACTGGAGCGAAAATGTAATATTATAACTGGCTAATTCTGTGTATTTACCATGTGAAATATTATCACAAGATGAGTCGATATTGCTATTTAGATTAGAGGCAGACTGACTTTTAAGCAATACATTAAAAACAAAAAGTCGAAGTATGTGATAAAGTTCTATGAACTTACTACCCATGATGGTTATGTTTTAAATAACGAAATTTACTAGACTGTGACCGTAGTTCACTGACAAAATAAAAAATAAAGGCGAGAGGTTCAAAACTGAAAAATTGGTTTTACAATTACTGGAACGTACCTCAACAAGGGTCTTTATGTCTTTATTGACAATTTTTACAACAGTGTTTCACTATCTTTAAAGTTGCTAATTCTCAAAACTCACTCAGCTGGAACAATAAGATCTAATAAAGTAGGCAATCCTGCAATTGTTCTAAAAGATAAACTGAGAAAAGGTGAATATATCTGAAGAAAAAAGAAGAATACTAGCTTATATGTCAGCAAGTGGTATGACAAGCGTGGTGTGAACATAATAACTACTGCATACAACCCAAGTATTATTCCTGTTAAAAATGGGTATGATGTTGAAAAGCAAAAATCGTGTGAGATAGATAGCTATAACAGGCACATATCAGGGATCGATAAAATTGAACAAATGATATCTTAGTCTAGCGCCCCCCCCCTTAAAACAATCCGTTGGTATAAGAAAGTGTTATTTCATCTTCTAGATTTGGAACTGTTTCATTTTATATAAAAAAAAGTAAATGAGGACAGGAAAAATATAAAACAAGCTAATTTTAAAGAAGCAAGATCTCTCATACAAACAGAATCAGCTATTGATGGTAGACTTTTGGTAAAACAAACAAACGGAAAACAAGCACTAAAAACAGAAGTTACAGAACGACATTTTTTAGAAGAGATACCTTTGCCTGAAAAATTACCACAAACTTCATTTATTCTTGAAAGGTAGGTGGTGTACATGAGAGAAGAAACAATAAGAAATAAGGTATTGGTGTGAAGTAGCTGCAGATAAACCTCCATTATGTCCTGCACCGTTTTAAACTTTGACATTATTGATCAATATCCTAATCTACTCTATATCTATATCCATATATATTTGTTACTATAATTAAAAAAAGTTCTTACTAATATGAAGATGTTTATTGATATCACTGTTATAAACTGTGTGCAAGAATGTTTGAATGTGACACTGATGTCTATAGCCATTAACTTTTTCTCTTCTATTTTCCCTCTATTTAAGTCTCCCCGAACGCACTGGTATATATATTTTTTTATATCATCCCTACCATTTCCAACTACCGAATGTGAAAAATCAGGTTTTTCAGATTTGATACCTTGTTCTTGCATTAGATGTGATACATCTTGTAGCAAAATATCAAAATTGTAGCTTGATAAGGAACACGGGAAAATTTTGTTTAAACCATTGAATATGAACATTTTGTCATTTTGTTTTGGTCAAAATATCGAATATCTGCAAACTGACGAAAATGAAATATTCGATACTTTTGTTTTGTATAAATATAACTAAAGACATATTTGTACAACGCAAAACGACTAATGTGTCACATTCATTATTTTTAGTGTTGTAATTGATACAGTTATTTAATTATAATCTGCAAACTGTCGAAAATACTAAACATTGTTGACAAGAACAAAACGCATGTGTTCACAATTGTGTGAATTATTGCTTCCAAGAAGTTCTTTTGGTGAGGCACTTAATCTTTTGTTTTTATCGGTTTCTCATTATCTGATTATTCAGTTATCTGGGTATAGCTAAACCAGAAACAGTGATTTTGTCAAAACGAGAATTATTTAAAAAAAAAACATTAAAGAATGCTGCCTTTGGGACGTCGTCCACACAGTGTAATTCTCCTTCCCATCACAAACACATCGAAAGAAAAGATGCAGCGAGAAAAATAAGGGATGAAGATAAACAGTAGGCTTTGGAGAATAGGAAAATATTAGCATTTAATTTCGATCTGCAATCTGTTTTGTCAACGCCTGAAGGAGCTACAGGATCTTGTGTTCATGTGAGAAAACTTTTTATAATTTGACCATTTATTATTTAAGAGAAGGGAGAACATTAGGCCAATATGAACTGTCGAAAATGCCACATTCGCAATTTTGAAACATTGCACCAAATGAATGTGTTAAAATTATACCAATATAAACTGATGAAAATGCCACATTCGCAATTTTGAGACATTGTACCAAAACAAATTGTTGATTAACACAAAAAGCAAAGTATCTAATGTGATTTTTGGAAAGAAAAAAACAATAAACAATTTAATTTTTTTTATCAATATAACAAGGATTAAACATTGAATATAAAAAATATAAAAATTTTTTCATTTGTCAAGGCGCTGATTCTCTAAAAGTTAGTTATCTTGCTCTCCTGAAAAGTACCACTTTTCACATTTGATAGTTAGAAATGGTAGGGATGATATGTGTGCAGTATTAATACAGATCTGCAAAAGCCATATCAGAACATCCATCATTTTTATTAGTGTCACTCACATATATGAAGATTCTGACATCTAGAGACACTGTTGCTCATCAATGTGTTGAGTTAAAGACAGTTATTTAGCCCATTTCAGTAGTACTTTACAAATAATTGCCAAATCAATTATGTATAATTTTATAGTATATAAAAGAACTTAATTGTCAAAAACACAAAAAGACCATAAACTTTTTTGGCATACATACCCTTTTCCTTTTTTTAGAATTTCCCTGATCATCTGCAGGAACATCTCCCAAAAGTCTTGTGGTTATAGGTGTTGTACTTGAATTGAAATGTAGCTGGAATGAATCTTCTACATTCTAAAATATATTAAATTTTTTTGTTTAAAAACTATCCACCTACTTAAATATAGGTTTTAATTATTTCTGATATTTTATGGTAAAAAAATTCACATTTTTTATTTTTGAATACAAGATAGTGCAAATTAACAAAAAATATAAATATTAATAATTTTAAGACCACTCAAAATTCGGAACAATTAAAATCAGTCCGTAAAAGTCTTTTGGTCCCTTCTTAGTGAAAACTATTACATTTTGAGCTAATCAATTTTTCATACAATTGATTAGTTTTAGTGCGAATAGATTACAAAATTACTTACTTCAAATGTTACACTACTATTATTTACAGGTGTATTAACTATCACAACTGTGTCACTACTGCTAAAATGATTTGAAAAATCTTCATCTGTTAAATATAAATATTGCCTAGTTTCTAAGTCTTCAGTGGTATTCCTTATGCTTTGTTCAATCCACAGTTTATGTAGGTCCAGTTCACGTTCATAATCGTTTAATTTTGCTACTTTCTTTTTTAGTTCAGATATCTTAGAGGTAAATTCTTCAGTGTCTGATCCAGGTAGATACTTATTGGTGTAAGGCCTAAAAGTTGTTACAAAATTAACTAACCAATTGAATATGTAGTGTAAAAAGTTTTAAAAAAGAAAATAGATTACTGGCATCATTTGTTTTGAATTTGTTACAAAAAATTTGCAAAGTATAAGTTTGCCATCAATACCATGAAAAAAAAAGTATAAATTTCTATAAAAGACCGAGAAAAATATTTGATCTTAGCAGGTTCAGGATATAGTGTCTGCAATTGGGATACAATCAAATTTATTGTCAGGTAGAATTGTTTGTGATTAAAATGTAAATAAATCTGAAATTAATATTCTCTACTCACTTCCATTGAATACTGTTTTTGCTTTTCTTTTCTATTAATCCTATTCCTTCTAATACATTAGTTATATCATAAATTCTCCTTTTTTGTCTAACAGCCAGCAAATCGGCAGCCTAAAAAACTATATATTTTTTTCCAACCTAATTAACTTATCACTATACTTACGACTTTAAGATCCAGTACACCACCTGTCGCTCTTTTTAACAGACCCACGAACTTTGTTGTTAACAAGCCAAGAGATTTTTCAAATCTACTGTGTGAATGTTCACCCATTTTTAACTATAATCAATTCAAAAACTTCGCCATAACAAAATTTTGGATTTGGTGGCGTTTCTTTCTCATTCTGTCAAACATGTCAAAAAACACTGTCACGCGTCACACCACAGTATGTCCAACATAAACGGTCGGTGAATATTTCAATATAATTTATATTCTGAAATTAATGACAGAATAAGAAACAAACCCACTAAATTTTTATACATGTAAATAATCCACGATTAATTAAATTTTTGGCTGAGCTTACTGAAAGTACAAGCTGATTATAGCCGCAAATGTCAAACATGGAAACAAAAATTTCGGTTTAGCAGTATTGGCATGTTTTATGCCTGGTTGCAGCAACATATCTTAAGTCCGCTTTACATTTACGAGTACTCGGATCCGAGTAAAGCTGGATTTATAGTTTGACGGACTGTAGACGCAGACGCACTGGAAAAAGATCAACATAGACTTTTGTGTACTCTTATTATTAGACACTTTAAGTTGGTGACAATACGTAGACGTTAACGTACACGTAGTGGTGAAATTTTAGCGTTTCCCCTTCTCATCAAATATCAGTTTAAGTTGATGGACTAAACGTTAACGTTAACGTATACGTAATTTTACCTTAACCTTACTTTTGAAAATATAAAAAAAAACAGACAGGAACTACCAAATAGTGTTTTGCTTCTAATAAGGTTCAATTTAGAATGGATGATATTTTGGATATGGCACTTCTTGATTCTGAGTCAGATGATGATGATTTGGATGAACTTCTTTTATTAAATTTCTTTAATGACAACTTGGGACGTAGAGCTGATCTTTATGGACGTTTTGCCTTGGAGAACATGTCTGAAATAGAAGCAAAATCATTCTTTCGCTTTGAAAAACAGCACATTCCCGAATTATCAGCCGCTTTAGGAATACCAGATGAAGTTAGAACTTCAGAAAATATTGTTTTATCAGGTAATTTAATAGCAATTATGGCAGAATTGAAATAATTATATTTTTTATTAGGTGTACATGCATTATGTATCCTTCTTCGAAGGCTTACTTATCCAAACAGACTAGTAGATCTCGAAGCTTTCTTTTGGCTATTCATATGCAGCTCTTTCAAGCATCATTAATACTATTACTCAAATCATAATTGATAATAAGGGACATTTATTACAAAATTTGGGTAACAATACTTGTTTAATGAGGAGAAGTTAATACAATATTCTCAGGTATATATTCACCTAAAATTTTTTATAAATTCTATTAATAAGAAAAACAAAATAGTAATCCTTATTTGTTTTTTAGGCAATACAACTCAAAGGAGCTCCTATGAATAATTTATGGGCTTTTATAGATGGAACTGTAAGACCAATATGTAGGCCTAGTATTAATCAAAGACATTATTATTCAGGACATAAGCGGACACACTGTGTGAAATACCAATCACTGTTATGTCCTGATGGAATTATTTTAAGTTTAAAGGGTGCATATCCTGGAGCTCGGCATGATGCAGGAATTTTCAGAGAGTCTGATTTATATACTGAATTAGAACAAAATACAGTTTTTGGTGCCCATAATTATGTAATATATGGTGATCAAGGCTATGGTCTCAGAGAGCTGTTAATTAGACCTTTTTACCCGGAATGAAATTGCCATAAATCCTGATAGGCAACAATTTAATAATATTATGAGCACATTAAGGGTTTCTGTGGAGTGGGGATTTAATAAAATAACAAAAGAATTTGCATTTTTTAGATTTTAAGAAAAATCAAAGACTTTTATTACAGGAAGTGGGAACAATGTATGCAGTGGGGACGATACTAGCCAATAGTCATACATGTCTTTATGGCAGTCAACAGAGTACGTATTTTAATGTTCCACCCCCCCATCTTCAGGAATACTTAGGATAGGAAATGTATATAAGTGTAGTCTGTATAAATCTCAAGTTTAATTTAATTTTCCAACAAATTTGGAAAAGATTGTATAAATTACAATGGCACACACGTACATAAAATATGTTACCATCTCATTTAAAAAGAGAAAGAGATTTAAAGAAAATCTAAAACATATTTTTAAATAAGCATTTTTTTCATCTTTAACCATTTTTTTTTAATTTAATCTAAATATTTTGTTTTTTTTATACCTAAGTTATTTTGTATTTTTTATTTATAGTCACTTATAAACACTTGTGTTTCTTGGGGTTAATATACTACTACTACTGTTATAAAATATATTCATTTTATGAAGTTTATAATAATTTGTGAGAACCTACCCTACCTGTTCCTAATTAAATAAAAATATACAATAGCAATAATTTATTTAGCTTAAGAAAATCTATCTAAAATAATTTTCATTAGTTCCTGCTGATTTTTAAAAACTTCTAATTGGACATTTAGCCGTTTTTCATCTATTACTAGTCTACGTTCTTCCAACTCCATTTTCTTCCTTCTTTCTTCAGTTTCTAGTTGGAATTTTTCTTTCTTCCAATGTTTGTCTTCTTTCTGCAAGAGCCAGTTCCCTACTTCTTAGTTCTACCTGCCTATCATTTTTTTTTGATAAATACTGTACAGTAGACTCCCTTATGTTTGTAGACGTACGTTTACGGACTGAAGGTGCTAAAATCCAATAAACATATCAAAGATGTAAATATGTAGCTTCGATTTTGATCGAACAGTTAAATTACTTACATAAAATATTTGCCTGAGCTAATGATCTCTTTCTAGGGAGTTTGCCCTTTTTGGCATCATTTCCCACATCAGCAGTACTATTCAGTTGTGGCTGATATTCAACATCGTCTGCCACACTTGCACTGTCAATTTCTATGTTTTCACCTACATCTTCAATACTGGTGTCGGTATTGCCTAAAAACAACATACACAATGAATATTTAATAAGTTAAGTTATGTACTCCACAATACATTACTACCAAATATACCTACCTTTTTGCATGTGTGAAACTGATATTTCCCTGGCTTCAAAACCAAGCTGGAAACTAGATTTAACTGCCTCTGTAACTTTGGAGCCATCATGTACAGTTTCGTTAGGTTTCTTCTGGTTTTTGAACTCTTTAATTAGTTCAATGATTTGTTGGATTAGATCATCTAGTTCTGTAACAGATTCTTCAATGCCTGATCTGAAAGTTACAAATCAATCTAAAATTAAAAACATATTTTCAGCATAAAAATATGTTTTTAAGAAAAAGAAAGACCACTTACTGTCCCTCGGTTAACTTAGTTTTTGATACATGTTTCTTGATCAGATTCTGGATTCTGTCTTTTAGGGTGCGAACAGATATTGATTTGCCAGTAATCTGAAGCATATTCACTTGAATAAGACACCATCTTCTTTGGTCTTCATATGGATTCTGACCAAAAATTTCTCTGGCCAAATGCAGATCAAATTCGTCGGTAAATCTGAATCTGGTTTTAGTAATTTCCTCCATGATATATAAAATAACAAATAAAACACTAAAATTACTGTACACTAAAATTATTAATAACACTTTGGTATAACCAAGTATAACCTGTATAACTAAATTTTCGGAAAACGAAGAAGAATTATTTTGCTCCGGCAGTTATCGTTTCGTTTCGGAGCACTTCGTCTAGCGTTATACGGGCACGTAGAGGTCCGTAAAATAACGTAAACACGCAAAACGTTAACGTGAAAGCAATCGATGTGAGCATGCGTAATTGTCAATATAACGTTTACGTTAATGTATGAAAGTCTAACTTAAAGTGTCTATTTATAAATGAACGTAAACGCAAGACGGGACGTAAGCGAAACGCAATGTAACGGAAGAGTTGGTCAACTTTCATCTTTTACAGTGCGTTACTTGCGTCTGGCCAATCAAAAGGAAGAATTTTGTGCTCCCAACCAAAATGAACTGTCTGGCACGCCCACAATTTTGTAAAGTTGCTTATTAACATATTCGAATTTTTATTTTGTTGATTATTTGTTACAATGGAGGTTAAGAATTTATAAAATAATAATAATAAATAATTAAATGATATTATAATATCATGGTCACCAACTCTAGCCGCTCTTTCTACTCATGCGCAAAAATTCCACTCCCTCGATTTATAAATTGAAATTATATTTACAGTCCGTTGTTACGTCTTCAGTGCGTCTACGTCTACAGTGCGTCAAACTATAAATCCAGATTTTACTCTAGTCGGAGTGCAACTCGGAAGTATAAACGTCTACTCGGAGCCTCTTGTCACTCGGATCCGAGCTCGGATTGAAGTTGAACGCAAACTGGAAATTCTAAATAAAAATGGCGGAACTAAGATTTCTGCAGATCAAATGGATCAATTTATCGATCTTTATCGTTCTTTTGAATGTTTATGGAATATGAAACTAAAGGAGTATCGGGACATTATCAAAGGAAATAATGCTTTAAATTAAATTAAATTAGGTAATCATTAACTTTAACAAACCTCTTGTAAATGTTGTTTCACCCAAATGCTTTTCTTTGTCTTAATTTTTTGTCGTTATTTTTCTCCTTTAAAAGGTTTAATAACACTAATACAACAGCAGCTCGTTTCTTTCTTGATGGCGCCATTTTTAAATTCTCTTTGAAACTACTCTGATCGCTCGGATTCAATGTAAACGATCGCAGTTCCACTCGTAACTCAAATCCGAGCTACTCGGATCCGAGTACTAGTAAATGTAAAGCGAAGTTTAAGACGTGCCTTAGGTAGGCCTCAGCTTAGACTGATCGACCGACCACGACCCAACCGTCCGACGGCGATCAACCAAATTTTGTATTTTTATTTTTAAGAATATAAAGAATATTTTAGAATGAAAATTATGGTGCAACGTAAGTGAGAGTTAAGGCAGCCCTAGCTATAAGCAGAGCTTGGCTAAGCTGGAGTTTCAGACCTATTGGTGCAACCAGGCATTAATAATGTATATGCTTTAAATACAAAGAGATAAAGCTTTAGCACAGAATAATAAACAATCAAAATGCCCACTCTCCACGGAATATTAATTACGCGCACCTCGTTCGCGCAGACGTTCCGTCATGTTTTAAAGGGAACCAGTGTTGTTTATCTGGTGTGCCATGGACGTATAAACACAGACGTCCATGTGGCG